GGAATGTGAAGCAGCCATAACAGAGGCTTTGTCTCGGCCTGGCACAGGGGCCCTGTAAACTGTGGCAGTGGAGAGTTTCAGCCATCACAGTGTTTATTGTGGTGAACAGGTTCAACAAATTCCCTGGAGGGATTTGATGAAGAGAGGCGTTGCTGCTTGACGCGTCACCTCTTGGCACGTGACCTTTTTTTCCGAAATGGAAATGGAACGCACAGATCTATGCACGGTCGCCACTGGCGGTATCCTGAAAGCCGATTTGGGTTCTGAATGTAAAACAGTGTTTTTGCCATCTGAAGCCTGCACGGGGCAATTATTTACAAATACTACATTGTAACATGTTTGTTATGTTAAAGCACTCCGCAAAAGGCTGAGGTCTTTAACATCGTCATCGGGCAGGAGAGTGATGGTGCAGTGGTAACACTCATGCCTCACAGCAAGAAGGCCCTGGGTTTGATTTCTGACTCTGGCGGCGCATTTCTTCTCTCCCCCTGTTTCCAGTCTCCTGCCATAACAAAATAAAAAGCCCCAGACAAGATGTCACTGGTATTTGCCAAAACATCCCAATTATGAAAAATTGCCTGGAAAATACTCAATTTGGATTTCACACGGCAACATTTTCCCACGACTGTAAAAACTTGGCAGGACGCGCCTGAAAAAGAGCCTTGAGTCTCAATGTAACTTTCGTGGTTAAATAAGTGGACGAATAATAAAGGGTAGCATGTTGAGAAGGTAATGCGCTGGCACTGGTTACCCAAGTGACACCGGATCAACAGGATATCTCAGTTCGGTCAGGGTTATTAAATAACATAGGGCTGATTTTATGAAGACCGATCATTTTTCAGAATTAGTACGATTGGTTACGAGTGGGGAGAATTAAAACAGACTGTATATAATATACAATGAGATTCATCGTTTTGAAACTGTATATGCATGCATGACATACCTCCAAAGATATTTGCGTCCTATAGGAAACATAATTTTCCAGTCTGATGAATAAACATGCAGAGGAGGAGAGGGGAGGATGTTTCTTGGCAGAAATTGGGCATGTTGTGCATTCCAGCAGGTTGCATCGTGCCAACCTGGCCTGGCATCGCCACCGCCTGGCGGAGGCTAACACCGCCCAGTGGCCGTGCAGCTTATCGGCACACCTCACTTGCCAGCCGTGTGTGTGTGCCTTTCTCTAGAGAATGCAGGTGGTCAACTCACATTTGGGGGTTTGTCAACCGGTAACCATTTTCAGAATCGATTACCGGTCCTGGAAGTGAGAAACCTGGTAATCGTTTCCAGTGGAATGCCAGAAAGGGACGGATAGTTTGACGCTCACGGGAACGGACAAGCCACGCTTGCGTGGTACATTTGCCGTTGTTTCTCAGTGAAGGCGCGCCTCTGCAATTGCTTAGGCGACTGCTGGCAAAAAAGGGCCTCCACTCGAGCAAGCTCTAGGGGGTAATTTGATCTTCCCTTCGCCGCTAACCAACACGTCCTCCATCGCACGCGACCTGCCGATCGACTCTGGCGAACCCGTTTATACTCCTGGGTGGACAGAGGCGGGGGGGGGGGGGATTTAAAAAAAACTCGTCCAATCCTTTGAACTTCCACCACCCGGAGTGTGCTGAGCGTCGCACCACTGTGGCTGCTGTTCTTCGTGACACGAGTGTATTGGCAACAGCAGCAAGAGGGTGCTGTGTCGGGAGAGGTGTACTCGGTACCGGTGGAGGAGGGCGTGCGGAGAGAGGACGTTGCCTTGACCTACATTAACGTGGAGACAGCCCCCCAGCCCAGCTCACCCACGTGTCTACTTGCGAGCGCTCTGGGCGGCCTCTCGCCACTCTGCATTGGACATTAGCAGCACTTTTATCTCGACATGTGTGGATTTCCACTCGCTTGTTTGTGTTGTGTGTCTTTGTGTACCCAACTTGGTTGCGGGCGGGCATTGGTGGAAAGGCATTTCATGTAAGCACGGAGCATATGGGGTTCCTTTATTTTATTTTATTACGCTGTTTTACCCAGAAGATCCTCAAGACTCTTTTTCAGGAGGGTCCTGCCAAGGTTTTCGCAGTAAGGGAGCGATGTCACTGCCGTTTCTGTGCGTAATCGCAATTGAGTAATTTGCAGGTAGATTTTTCAGAATTTAGGACGTTTTTGACCAGTACCAGTTGCATCGTGTATAGGGCTGCTTATTTGCGTGTGTTTAGCTATGGGAAGAAACGAGAGAGCCCGGATGAAACCCATGCAAGAACAGGGGGAGAGTCCACACAGAAAGGCGCCAGAGTCAGGAATACAACCCAGGCCCTTGCGTGCTGCTTTGAGGCACAAGTTTCACCACTCCGCCACCACGACCCTGCCGCTCAGGAGAGCGTGCTGGCAATGTCATGTAGCAGTCATTCGTGTTTGTCGCGAGGAAGCCATGTCCGTGGAAATGTTTCCGGACTCGCTCTCTCCGTTTGTGTCGCGGCTATTTTAATGCCCCTCGCGCTTTTGCTCGCACATCGGTTGGGGATTCATGAAATGCCCCCGAAGACGCCAGAAACACCTGGGGACACTCAAAACATGTGAACGCAAGTCTCCGGGTTTGTTTTGTGTGCACACTTTGACGTTCTGGTTAACAGTGCAAAGGTGCGCCGTGTGTGTTTGTGAATGCGACGCAGTGTATGCGTGTCTACTACCCCTTGACCCCAGTATGCGCAGCATGCACACGACTGCAATGTGACTCTCTAGAGTATGACGTCGCATAGCTGCGGTTCTTTATTGCGCATGGGAATGTGGCCTCTTTAAGCCACCAGAATTTTGGGCACGCCGTCGGAAAGGCCTTATCAAGATCTGGAGAGACGAGGTGTGTTGTCCCCCGGCGGTTGCGTCTCAGAGACCCAGGGAAGCAGGAGTCACTGGATCCACCGCTTCATGGGTCTCACTTGTGGCCGTGTGGCGGGAGTGAGCTCACCCCAGGTCTCACTACCCCAGGTCTCACTACCCCAGGTCTCACTACCACAGGTCTCACTACCCCAGGTCCCACTACCACAGGTCTCACTACCACAGGTCTCACTACTCCAGGTCTCACTACCCCAGGTCTCACTACCCCAGGTCTCACTACCCCAGGTCTCACTACCCCAGGTCCCACTACCACAGGTCTCACTACCACAGGTCTCACTACTCCAGGTCTCACTACCCCAGGTCTCACTACCCCAGGTCTCACTACCCCAGGTCTCACTACCACAGGTCTCACTACTCCAGGTCTCACTACCCCAGGTCTCACTACCCCAGGTCTCACTACCCCAGGTCTCACTACCCCAGGTCTCACTACCACAGGTCTCACTACTCCAGGTCTCACTACCCCAGGTCTCACTACCCCAGGTCTCACTACCACAGGTCTCACTACCACAGGTCTCACTACCCCAGGTCCCACTACCCCAGGTCTCACTACCACAGGTCTCACTACCACAGGTCTCACTACCCTAGGTCTCACTACCCCAGGTCTCACTACCACAGGTCTCACTACCACAGGTCTCACTACCACAGGTCTCACTCGTGGCCGTGTGGAGGGAGTGAGCTCACCCCAGGTCTCACTCGTCACCGTGTGGAGGGAGTGAGCTCATCCCAGGTCTCACTCGTGGCCGTGTTGGAGGGAGTGAGCTCACCCCAGGTCTCACTCCTGGCCGTGTTGGAGGGAGTGAGCTCACCCCAGGTCTCACTCGTCACCGTGTGGAGGGAGTGAGCTCACCCCAGGTCTCACTCCTGGCCGTATTGGAGGGAGTGAGCTCACCCCAGGTCTCACTCGTCACCCTGTGGAGGGAGTGAGCTCACCCCAGGTCTCACTCCTGGCCGTGTGGAGGGAGTGAGCTCACCCCAGGTCTCACTCGTGGCCGTGTTGGAGGGAGTGAGCTCACCCCAGGTCTCACTCGTCACCGTGTGGAGGGAGTGAGCTCACCCCAGGTCTCACTCCTGGCCGTGTTGGAGGGAGTGAGCTCACCCCAGGTCTCACTCGTCACCGTGTGGAGGGAGTGAGCTCACCCCAGGTCTCACTCGTCACCGTGTGGAGGGAGTGAGCTCACCCCAGGTCTCACTCCTGGCCGTATTGGAGGGAGTGAGCTCACCCCAGGTCTCACTCGTCACCGTGTGGAGGGAGTGAGCTCACCCCAGGTCTCACTCCTGGCCGTATTGGAGGGAGTGAGCTCACCCCAGGTCTCACTCGTCACCGTGTGGAGGGAGTGAGCTCACCCCAGGTCTCACTCGTGGCCGTGTGGAGGGAGTGAGCTCACCCCAGGTCTCACTCGTGGCCGTGTGGAGGGAGTGAGCTCACCCCAGGTCTCACTCGTGGCCGTGTGGAGGGAGTGAGCTCACCCCAGGTCTCACTCCTGGCCGTGTTGGAGGGAGTGAGCTCACCCCAGGTCTCACTCCTGGCCGTGTTGGAGGGAGTGAGCTCACCCCAGGTCTCACTCCTGGCCGTGTGGAGGGAGTGAGCTCACCCCAGGTCTCACTCGTGGCCGTGGGGAGGGAGTGAGCTCACCCCAGGTCTCACTCCTGGCCGTGTGGAGGGAGTGAGCTAACCCCAGGTCTCACTCCTGGCCGTGTGGAGGGAGTGAGCTCTTAGCCCCATTGGCTCATATCCGAGTTCGATCTCTGAACGCGTGAACCCCCCAACTCCCCACTCCCCCCCACAAGAAGCGCCGAGCCCGCTGTTAATGGTTAACTCCTCCGGGAGTCGTATAGGGGAGGGGTGGTGCGCAGTGTGTGGGGTGTTGCTCACGAGCAGGGGACGGTGGTGGCTGGAGGGGGGAGCCTGGCTGTGTGGGGTGGGGGCGGGCGGGCAGAGAGCACCGCAGGCCGTGCCCGACCGTGCGATTGGACAAGCGCGCAGGTTGGCTCCGTGAGATCACCCGGCCACTGGGGGAGGAGGAGGCCCCGCGCGTTGAGTGCGGTACAGCCGCGCGCGTGGTCTCTATCGACGCCCACCACCACCGCCCCCCCCACCTCCCCTCTCTCTACATAAATACGGCGAGAGGCGGCTGGGACAACTTTTGTCATCGTCCCAACTACTCTTGCTGGAATTCCAGAGAGGGGGGCCTGGCAGCGTGACGTGTGACCCCGAGTCCGTGAGCTATCCACGACGTTTTTCTTGGTTGCCGGTAGCACGTGACCGCTGCTGCGGATTTTGCTGCTGCCCTGTGATCCGTAACCGGTGTGTCTCGGGGAGATTATGGGTTTCTTTTTTTATTGACACCTCCAAAGTGTTTTGGGATTTATTCAACCCCACGCACGTCTGTGACATGGGCCGGTGGCTTTTCATCTTCTCGCTGTTATGAGAATGCCGCAAAGGTTAGGGCGCTACCTCGACTAAGTTCGTGTTGGTCTCAAATAGAACGAGGGGAAGAGAAAAAAATAGCCCCATCTCCTTTCCGTCCGCTTGTTGGATTCTCCGTTGACAATAATGGCGAGGCAGAATTTACTGTGCATCGCCGTCCTGTTGCTGGGATGTGCTGCTCCGCTGGCATCTGCACAGTGGGATTGGTTTTTCCGTGGCAAGAAGACGACCACAACGCTGGCCCCGTTCGTGTCCACCGCTCCGGCTGCGATCTCCACCGCTCAGGCTGCGATCTCCACCGCTCAGACGCAGTCGTCGTCCTCAGCCCAGGTCGGCGTGGGAACCACCTTGGCGACCTTGACCTCTGGTCCTTCGCTCGCCCCTGCCACCTCCTCCGCAAGCAGGAGCCTGCAGAAATCGAGCGTCGCCACAGAGGCTCCTCCAAAGCCACCCACGGCTGCGACGGAAACCCTCGCCACCCCTCAGGGGCAGGGCGGGACCCCAACCTTGGGGACAGAGGCCCACAGCAGCGAGCCCAGCGGTGCGGGCCCAACCACCACCCCACCGCCCACTCACTGGCTCACTGCTAACGCAAGTACAGGTAAACGCACCGCTGGGTAACCTCTGACCGGATAACGCAAAGTAGCAGCTCTTGGTTCTGAGCCACCCGACGTTTTCTTTAAGGGATTTGTACGGTTCCGAAAACGTTTTCCTAATCTTCACACTTTTGCTCGTCTCGTTCCTGTGCTTCCTAATGGTAACGTGATACTCTCACTTTTACAGCATGCAAGCTGTGCGTTTGAATAGAGCATACAACATGAGCACAACCTGAAACTCTGCCAACAGACACAAATAATCTCCTAAAGCACGTGCGGCCCGACACAGCTGATGGCATTGTTAGCGGAGGCATGGACGCCCACTATTCCCATTAACACGGAGGAAAAAGAATGACGTTACCGAAAGAACCAGGAATATTTATTTGATATTGACCTCTCTGTTCCTCTGTTATTGCCCTCTCTGGCCTCTTTGTGCGCTGTATCGAAGGACCATTGCCCCAAACGTCACCGATTAAATAATTTTCATTTTGTGGCAACACACTTTTTTTATTGACGAGTGTGTTGAGGGTTTTTTTTATGTTAACTGTGCTTGTGCACCAACGCCAACGGCATCGGCAGCAGCAGGAATTGTCGCAAGTTATTTGAAAGCAACATTTTTCAAGTTGAGTAAAACATTTAAAGTTGAGTAATATAGCGCTTACAATATGGAATTGAGTCTCGAGCAGCTACTACTGGTTTTGTGTAGCATGATTTATGCGCTTTATCTTTCAATAGCATCCATACTTTACTTGTCACACATAGTGTATCCACTTGCCTCAAATGCATTTACCTGACAAACACACGATGGATAAATATAAATACCTTTTAATCCTGTACGTGATTGACACATTTTTGTAAATTAATTTTGATCCACCTTATCAATTTTCCACGTAGAATGCATTTTATTGGAATAAGTGCCACTTATACAATGCTTATTTTATAGTGAACGACCAATGAGTGGATTTATAATGACGCTGTAGTTTAACTATTCAGCTTCAGAGCATGGGCCCGGAGTGGCTGTCACAGCCACATTCACGACCCAACTTCCCCCTCTTCAACCGAGCATCCACACTAATTATCACCCTCATTGCAGCAGCAGCAGCGAGTATATGATCCTTATGGTGGTATCCCGGGGTACCAAATAATACAAAATCGCCAAGGCAATTAAATGTTTTATTTCTGGGACACATTTTTTTTACAGGGGTGTTACTTAACTCTGCGACTGGGACACCAATCAATCTTAAATCAGTGCCACTCCGTGACTGGGATACCAATCAATCCGAAATCAGTGCCACTTCGCGACTGGGATACCAATCAATCCGAAATCAGTGCCACTCCGCGACTGGGATACCAATCAATCCGAAATCAGTGCCACTCCGCGATGGCGATAACGGATTTAGTTATCATAAAAAAATTCGTTATCGAAAAATTATACTTTGAATGGTGCATCGTGATCACAGCTCGTCGAGATGAATCGTTGCCGCATCGCCGACCATCAGCAGACTAAAAATTACTCCCTCACGGGCATTATGCGAGAACCAGGGTTCCAGCACCCCGGGGTACCGCCATAAGGTTCACATGTAGAGTCATGCAGAAGTGGCGTCATGTTTCCAGCAAGTGGATGTTGTGTGTGTGTGTTGCCTGCAACAGTCATCGAAACTCATTCACCGTCGTAAGGAGTTTGGCAAATGTGGAAATGTATCTCACCTGTGCACACCTGCTGGTTAGGTAACTTTTTTCGGGGGAATTTCTGTGAAAATGGTTGTCATGCATATTGACCGTATTATCTGTTTTGGCCTCGCCTTTTATTAATGATAAAGTGATTCAACTCGTGTGGATTTTTTTTCTCTTCAATACAAACGTTTGCAGAAGCCCATCTACTTGGCGTACTGGGAAATCAGACATTATCATTTGCATGTGGGGATACTGTTCTTCATGCCAAGAGCATCATTGCCAGTGCAATGAAGAGTCCGACATTGGCCCTGTTGGGCAACATATTCTTGTTATTATTTTTTTATTTGTAATTAGCTGGTTGATCTATGCATGTATGTATGCATTGGCTGATATACTGGTGTGAATGATGCACACGAACAAACGTGAATTGAATTAAAGGTTGCACAACATTCATGTCTCGCTGTCGCAGCTACCAGCCTGGTGGTGCCTTCCCACTAATCACTTCCAGACACAAAAATTTCCCCATTTACAACGACCGCGTTTTGACCAAAAACGTCACCGTTGGCACCCAGAAACAGTGCAGGCAAACAGGGCCACATCATTTCACAATTGCTCCCAGGGGGCCAAAAAGGCCAGATGATGCGAATGGGAGTTTGAAGCCCTCCTGTTGTTCATAGTTTCTGAACTAAGGCTAAGTAGTGCTGAAGCAATGAGAATTCTATGTTTTGTCGCATATATTTTCCTGGTAAAATGTCCATCCTTGTGAAGAAACCAGATGGCCCACCCAACACCTTTGGTTTCATTGTCACCTTGCGGTGAGGAGAAGAAGAAGGCGGCCACGCTGCCCGGTTTCATGGACAGGGATCCACGAGGACGCGAGTCGGCAGCCCTGCGAGCTTTAGCCCGGTCCGCGTCAGATCCCGGCGCGTAGCCTACGACGACGTCGTTGCCGCTGCGACATTGCCCCGCACGCGACACGCTAGCTCGGCCCGCCGCGGGTGAAGCCTCGGTTACTCCTGTGCGTGTGTCGTCGTCGTCCCTCCCCGACGAGCTCGGATTTTTGCCGCGTGCTCGTCCTCGCCGAGATGAGACTTCCCAGTCCACCTCAATCACAGCCAGGCACTCTACTAGGGCCGGCTGCTGTCTGCAGCGCCGTACCACTGCCGTCTCGCTCTCTTCCTGTGCACCCTCGCGGCTCCGCCGAGCTCCACCGAGCTCCACCGAGCTCCACCGAGCTCCACCGAGCTCCACTGAGCTCTGCTTGCCGTGCGCAAACCTCCGCCGGAACGTCGAAGACTCCCGCCAGCGATAGGCGCCTGGTGGACTGCCGCCGATTGCTGCCAGCGAAGCCCAAGTGCACGATGCCCCTTGGCTTTGACGAGGGCTCTGTTGTTGAGGTGGGAAGGTAAAGGCGCCGTTGGTGTCGCGTGAACTCCACTGGTGGGATCTGTCGGCGGGAGGGCATGCGGATTTCCTGGAATGGCACGTCTAACAGCTGTGTCGAAGCAACCGCGTTGTCCACTAACTCGTTCCACACGACTTCGCGGAGGGAGACGGCGTGTTTAGAATGTCAGATAAGCGTGGATGCAGTGGCGTTGACGGGGTCACTTTATCTTGGAGCGTTTTTTTTCTTTCCTGGGCGTTTGCTTTTATTGTGGTGTCTCCTGCATTCTTGGGCATACATAAATTACCGAAGAATGTGTTTGCGACTGTGATTTATCCTGTTGCGTTTGTGGAATCAATGCTCTTTCTTTATGACGTGAAAGCAATACGAATATCATGACTTAAAGCTTTCGTGACTGCAGAAATTCATATTCTTTGGATCTTTCGGTAAAGTCACGTAGATGGGTTGAAAGAAAATAACAAAAACTACGACGTTTCGATCGCAACAAAGACGGTCGTCATCAGGAGGAGTCGTTCAGCTTCATACATTGGCGCTTAAGCCAACATTAAAAGAGCTTTTCCGTGTTTTTTTTTACTCCCCATTAAACGGCAGGGAAATTATTAACATGTTAATTAAAATATCTTTGCAGCGCTTTGTCTTTGGTTCCGGAGGCGGCTCGCTCCCTACCTGAATGGAAATTCTTCAAAGGGGGCGCAAAAAGCCCCATGCATGGCTCGCCCTGTCGCGATTCATCACCAGTTTCCCGGCTCCCTGCGTGGAGGAGGGCCGCAGGCTGGGGAGCTGTGGGTTTGGGGTCACGAGTCAGTTTGTGTGTGGGGGGGGGGGGGTGAACAGTGAATGACCATGTCTCCTGCTTTAATCCCTCCCCAGGGCTTCAAGGGATCACTCGATTGAAAGAGTTGATCAAGTGCAGCTGGGGTATTAAGAGGCAGGGCAGTGCTTTGTTGCCAATCGCACGTTGTTACTGTGATAAGTAGTTATTGTTCGTGTGTACCTGAGAAGGTTTGTTTCACAGTAATTGTAGTTTGAACTGCAGCGATTTTTAAACCAATTACCCGGACACATTTTTGCACAGTTAACTTGGTGTGATTTTATTACTTTAAGCACAGCCTCCGCTCTGGGGACCTCCCGCCGGCCTCCGTGTGACGGGTGGGCCTTTGTCTTGCCCTGGCCCCTTGTCTTGCCCTGGCCCCTTGTGTTTGAAATATCATTCTCCTTCTGATTCACGTGATACAAAAATAACGCCCATATTGTCGACCACACGATTCGTTATTTTTTTTTCATCAGACTTGTTTCTGCGGCCATCCCAAACATTCTTCCTTCCCATATTAGGAAACCAGTGGAGCTATGCACTTTCAAATCATGTAAATTGAAAACTCATTTCTTTAGAACTGCTTTTGGTGTGTTAGTTTGTTGTCCTTCCCCCGCAACTCCGATTAGCACAGTTGGCTACATGCGGTGCGAAAGAAGTTTAACATACATACATATCCAACATGGGTGTATAATCATTATGGGGAAGCGGTAGTGTAGCAGTTGGCGTGCTGCGCTTTTGATTCCCGCTCATGGCCAACACCAGTTATCTGCACCGGTCCTGGGCCTCCCTTAGGTCGACTCAGCTTCAAATGAGTGCCTGGTGCAGTGTGTAAACATCGCCACTGGGGAGAGGAGGTGGTCGGACGTGGTTCTGTAGACCGACCTTCTCGCATGCCGGCCTTCACAGGAGATATTTGTCTTTGTATAATCATTGCATTATTTGTAAACAGCTACCTATTATTTGCCTCCCCTTCGGAATGTTTAAAATAATTTGCCAATTTGATTGATGTATAAGGCAGACAGCAGCTGGACTTTTTTCATGTGCTGAGTTGAATGCGATAAACGGGTTCAGATTTCCACACAATCCACGCATTTATTGCATGACGGATTGGACTGTGTTGCCATGCAATTAGAACAGAAGTTTTTTTGTAAGAAAAAATAAAAAAATGGTTTGTTTTTTTATATCACTCCCGCTACGCCGGGGTATCTCAGTTCACTTCACGCGCGACATATCAGTGGACGTCGAGCGATCTAATTATTTTATAAGACGATCATTTTTTTGCAGACTGGAAATGAAATAGTTTTCGTAATTTTTTGCCTCTCAAAATTGTATTTATTTATTTATACTATTTCGTTTTCCAGCCTTTTTCCACCTAAGGATTGGCCGTGAACGTGCACAGGACATTTTTATCATAATAATTTTATACGTACTGCTTGAAAAAAATATAATGTTGCATAACAGTCACAACACTGATTGCTAAGGTGCGCTATAATCACGGTTGCGAGCCAGTTGTGTGTGTGTGTGCTCGTGTGCAAATAATGTGAAGGGTTTACGACTGCAACCTTGTAAGGTTGTGTGAACTTTTACCACAGAGTGCACTTCTAAGCAGAGAGCAGAGTTTATTTTTTGCTTTGCAACTGTGATAATAACATCTTACTGGCATGCTGTGAATTCTGTCTGCAAAAACCACGTGACAAATCATGAGCACCACTTAAAGAGCGGAGAGGGCAGTGGTGCTTGAAATGCGTAGCTGTGCGTCCCAGACGGCAGAAGAGGCACTCACGAAGGAGTGGGGCTCGACCACACCTTGTCGACCACACCTGGCCCGACCACACCTGGCCCGACCACACCTGGCACGGACCACACCTGGTCAACCACACCTGGTCAACCACACCTGGTCGGGACCGCTCGTTTTAACTCACGCGAGTGAACTTCGCCGCCGTTTCTCTCCACAACGCTGCGTCCGCCGAAGCATCGAGAGTAATGTGACTCGATAAACATTTTTCCAAAGTTGGGACGAGATATTTTGACCGAAGTGTCGTGGGAAAATGTTCTTTATTGAATTGCAGCTTAATATTTTGACGTGAAAGAGGATATGTAACCTTGCCCGTAATTCAGTGGCGCTCTGTGCACAGTTTTCACAGCCGGATCGTGTGCTCGGCGCTCAACTCTGTCGCTCTCTTAATTCGTACAGGCCTTTGAGCGGTGATGTCAGTACCTGCAGAATCTAAGGCACTGGCTTGTAATGATGTGTAGTACGTTCATAGAAAGTACGTCCTTAAACACGGCTTTTTCATTATCACCTATTCTCTATCCACCGCTGGATGAATGCCTCTACGTCGGCGCTGTCGTGCATGACTCAATGCAGATGCAATCCGTACGAGGTGACTGCGTTATGTCGATGCCACTGGCTCAACCTGTTTCTCAGTCATCCTTTCTGAGCGCAATGCTCTCTCTTCTACCGTTCAATCACAACGTTCGTTTCATCGCTTGTCACTTTGGCAGCACCGTTCGTGGCCGAGTCCACCTGGGTTTGTTTTTGTTGTTGGTCCCACGTTCTTCTTTTCGCCCTCGTCCATATTCGCCGCCTGTCTGTGACGATCTGCCCAGGTGCGCATCCCTTTTGATACCGCACCAGATTTTGTGAAAAGAAAAGTAAGTGTCCTGCCCTTTCGTTGGTCATGGTTCCAAGCTAAATGTAGCAATTGTTGTTGCACTGCGATTCACAACCCTCTCCCATGGGTGGCGTTTTCCTGAACTTATTGTAATTATTACATGCATATTATCCTCACAGTATACACAGTATATAACATGTATATTTTTTCTCATGGTATACACAGTTTCTAACATGTATATTGTTTCGATTTAAAGCTTTCGTGACTGCAAGGATTCATCTTCTTTGGTTCTTTCTGTAAAGTCACGTAGAATGAGAATAAAATAATAATTTGATAAAATAAAATAACACAATATTTTATCAATTTATTATTTTATTCTCATTCTACGTGACTTTACCGAAAGAACCAAAGAAGATGAATCCTTGCAGTCACGAAAGCTTTAAATCGAAATTTAACCACCTCTACGGAGAGGGATTCCACACAACCGTAAGATCATTCAACAGACTCCGGGATAAGAAGGCTCAACTAATCGAGTCTCTCACCTTTCTGAAGAGATGCCGCGACTCTAAGCTTAAAGGTCGCGATCTGAGCGTGGCTTTTTCACTCCAGCGCTGTCCTCCAGACAGTCTCGTCCCTTCACCCGATGAAGGCCGCTTGTGTTGTGGCCGAAACGTCGTGAGAATATTATTGCGTTATTTTATTTTATCAATTTATTATTTTATTCTCATTCTACGTGACTTTACCGAAAGAACCAAAGAAGATGTATATTGTTATCACAGCATACGTGACACAACTTCATTATACAGGGGGTGGAGGGGAGGTTGCAGTGGTGACACTCGTGCTGGCCAGCAACAAGGTGGCTCGGTTTGGTTCCTGACTCGGGTGCCTTGGTGTGTGGGCTTTGTAAGTTCTCCCCCCTGTTCTGCACGGGTCTCCTCTGGGTTATTCAGTCTCCTAGCTGGAACAAAACTACACTTTGAAACATTTCCTCTGATTGTGAAAACTTGTCAGGACCCTCCTGAATAAGTCTTGAGACTCGGTTAGTAATCGTGTAAATTACACGTCATAAGCTAGACTGTCGTGAAGTTCTCCATGAATAAGAATAACTTATAAATATAAATGTGAAACTCACTTGTCAAGCATTTTAAGACTAGATAATTGGAAGATAAGCTCTCTACAGCCACAGATTTATGCAGCAATGATTGAAACTCTAGGTGCAGAGACGCATAGGATCCTGGACGCGTTATAGATTACATTTGTTACAGCCTCTCTGCAGATGCTTCTGTTTAGCACACATGCTGTCCAGCCACATCACAATGTGCTTCTGGCTCTTGGGTTTTGCTAAATACTAGATGTCGTAAGTCAGACTTAAGAGTCCAGCAAATAATTCTGGCCGTACAAAGAAATCCGTGGCATAAGATGCGTCCCTCAGCAGCAGTAGCAGCAGCAGCTGTGGCTAAGTTCTGGCTGCGTGCGATATTCTTTGGAATCCCCTCGTGCGGACACATCTCGCTCCCGCTGCCAAGATCCACTGCTGGCTGGGGACTGTGTCCTGGACCGCACAGAGCGGCACGGACGTGTGTGTCCACCCCGCCTCAGAGCAGTGTTCAATAAAGCGCCATTCGCCCTTGGAAACGTTGAACTAGTCCCGACGCGATTCATATTCTCCAAGCCTATTTGCGTCCACGCTGACGATCCCCGAGCAGCGTCCCCCATTGTACGATAGGCGAACGCTGCTGTTTATGTTCAGAAGATCAGTGCATTATTACTTCTCTACGCTTGCAACTGGAACTTATTGTGTGTGATGTTTGGGTAGCAGAAATATCATTACTTGGCAATGTAACGTTTGTTTCACTTCAGTTTAACGATCAATGTGGAAACCATGGAGAGTTGCTGGGGGGTTATTTGGGTGGTGCGGTGGTACAGTGGTTTTACTCCTTCCACTGCAGCAACACGGTTTAGTTCCAACGGCCTGGGTTCGCGAGATGATGAGAGTCACTTTTTTGTTTGATGGCGTTGTGCAACCCAATGTTCTATTTTTTTTTTACCTTTCACTGACCAATATATGCGGATGTGGAACTTTTGATACGAAAATCGGTTGCAGCCAATGCTGGGTGCAGTAAAGAAATGGAAAAATAGGCCATTCAGCCAGTGTGGTTGCTCTGAGGCGTTTTCAATTTAATGTCTCGTGTAAGAAAAAATGTGTGTCTTATGTAAAGTTCTAATCTGGTCATAAGGAGCACATGAAGGGAAACTTACTGCAGACACTCATGCCAAGCATGGAAGTGCATTGGCTAGGGTAGTGCCATTTCATCTACCAGATTACATAAGCTCATGCATACCATTCACCCTAACCTATAAATGAGCTATGTGGACTTTGAAGGTCTAAGTAATTACGGAATAAATATATAAATTAACTGCCACATGACCAGGCTGAACTTTTCCAAATGTCATTGTGTGGTGTTAATCGGTGATCATGCTACCGTGGGTGACAGAGGTTTGCGCTCGACATTCAAGTCTAAATCACCGTATGACCCACGAGCGCGAATGCCTTGCACCTTGGAATGCTCTCTCCTGAGTGAGACGCGACTTTTAGGGCGGCAGAGTGGTGGCGCGGTGGCATCGCTCTCGTACTTTACAGCCAGAAGGGCCTGGGATCTATGCCCCGAATCGGAGCCCCTTGCTTTCCGTCTCTCCCCCTGTTCTGCGTGGTTTTCCTCTGCGTTTAGCCGTTTTCCTCCCAAGGGAAAACAATACGTATATAATGGTAACTGCTTTTGGACCAAACCTCCTTGATGCTGAAAATATTTATTTCAAATTTCTCAATTGGGATTACACAAGGCATCAACATCGTGGACGTTTGGCATGACCCGACTGTTAAAAGATTATTGAGACTCGGTGATGTTTTCCTGCCAGGCTCCTCTGTGTCACAGTGCACGTCATGAGAACGGGGTGCACGAGAGAAAACGACGATTCACATAGCTGCTGTCACATTGCTTTTATTCGATGGGAGAGAGCAACGGATGCGTTGCCCTCAATACAAATGCACGTTGATATATGAATGTATGCTGAACTTCTTTTGCACCGTACGTAGCCAACTGTGCTTATCGGAGGCGCGTTGATCGCTGGTTGTCCAATGTCCAAAGAAGCTGTTGGACCCATAGCTGTTTCCTTTGATCGTGACAGATTGTTCTCATCCTTGTAACCAGTTGTCTGAACAACGTCTGAGCAGTTTACTTGTTCGAGGTGTTGATTAACCATTCTATCACGTGCATTGTCTCATCCACTTTACATGTTTGAACGTCAATCAATGCGCGATTTAAAACTGCGTAAAGGTATTTTTTTTTAAACGCATTGGTCACCACCTGCCGTCACTTGCCCGTTCCATCTCATTGACCGTTCCCCCGCCCGTGCGTGTCTACGCAGACGACGCTTCTTCGGCCCACGGGATCGACCTCCTGAGGCTGATTGGAGACCCAACGCCCAAGTCGGTGTCCGTAGTCGCCGGGCAGGATGATCGCTCGGCCTTCTACTTCCACCGCGGAGCCGAAGTGGCCAAGCGATTCCAGGGCTTCTTCACCAAGCCTCTGCCCGCAGACTTCTCCATCTTGGTCACCATCACCCCCGCCACCAGCCAGGTGCCGACGCGCCGCCAGGCATTGAGAACTGCCACCCCTCGCGCATGCCCACCGTGCCCGTTCCCGTACGCCCGTCTGCACACACACGCCTTCCCGAACGTCTATCCGTTAGCTCAAATATCTCCGAGTCTGCTTATCTCCGTAGCTGTTTCTTTTCCTGTGCTCGCTAACGGCAATTGCCCCAAAAGCCTGTTGAAGCTATAAGGAGGACCTTTGTCTTGTTTCCCTGTTTGTTTGTCAATTTTTTCGCCCGACCTGGGTGTCAGCTTACTTGTGTCGACGATCGGCCATCTCCCTACACACGACTGCTTGTCGATAAATGATTCCACATTCTCGCATGTCTGTTTGCCTGTCTGCAAACCCAGGTCCCCATATGCCCGCGGCCTTCCTTCGACTCTCAGTGAAGCCTGCCCACGAGCCTGCGGGAACGCGTGAACGTGTTGTGGGAGACGCTTGCGGGCTGACCCCGGGGGGCGCGCACGCGTGTGTGCGTGTGTGCGTGTGTGTGTGCGCGGCTCCACAGGGCGGCTTCATCTTCTCGGTGATGGACGCCCTGAAGCAGACGGTCTACCTCGGCGTGAGCGTGTCTCCTGAGCGCCAAGAGCTGCAGCTGCACCTCACCTCGTCGCAGGAGCGCCGCACGACTCCCGTGGCCACATTCCGGCTGCCTGCGCCCGCGAAGCAGCTGACGCGCTTCGCCCTGCGCATCCGCGGCACCGAGGCCTCGCTCCTCGACTGCGAGGCCGAAGCCTCCGAGCAGAAGGCGACGCTGGAGCGGCCGCCGGGGGAGCTGCGATTCCCGCAGGGAGGAGGGTTCTTCTTCGTGCGGGGACGAAACGAGCAGCCGCGATACGAGGTCGGTGTTTTCCCTCCCCCTCGGTGGATGCGTCGCGCGCGGTGCCGACTCCCCCCGGGGTGGTTGGGTCAAGTGGGTGCGACGTGGTCTTCGCGGTTTTGTTTGCCGTCGCTCGGTTTTGCCGAACTCGCTCGTAACTCGGCTTACAGAAATGAGAGGAACCGGAGGTCGGAGTGCGGACGTGTTTTGGCGTTAGCGGTAGTAGTAGCGCCGCGTCTTCTGGTACTTGTTGTGCGGGACACATGGTTCCTCCGTTTGCGGCTCGGATTTGGAATTGGTTCCTACTTCAAAGGTTCTGGCTTCACATGAAATGAAACGTGGCGATGGAACATCTGACATCGTTTTGCTTTTTATTGACGGTTTTTTTTCTTGTTTGATTTTTTTCTTAGTTTTATTTAAATGCTAAAATGTTTTCGACTTAAAATACAGTACTGGAATAGGTGATTTTATATTTGCCCTTAATTTTGAAGAATTCTAGTCATTTTGAACTGAACCTGAACATGTTGTGGCTTGTTTCTTTATCACTAAAAACGTATGTGCTCTCCACACCAGTGACAGGGTAAGAGCTTGATTACGTCATATTCTGTCTGGCATTCCAGTCAAACAACACTGCAGGCTGTCTCATCGTGAGTGAATCAATAGGCCTCTTGATCTTCCCAATGCTAGCTTTTCCCATCACTGACAGCACTTCTGTTCACGCGGAGCTTGGTATAGCTGAGTCGAGGGAAAGTTATGTTTAGAATTGGTTTTGTGACATAGTTGTCGATGACAAAAGTCGTCCACACACATGAGGACATTTTTACTCTTGGGTCAAGGTCAAGGTCAAACGTTCATCATGCTGGTGATGCCACTGCGTCCCCCGCCGCTGCTAGATCCTGCAGCTGTTGCAAAGTGGACACCTGTCCTTGGGGTCTCCCCTCGCAGTCTTCAAGCATCTGACGTTAGGCCTAGCCTATAAGTACCACTCCAATGCGCGTCTCGGTAACCTACCGTCATCCATCCTTCCTGCATGACATCATAAGAGTAATAACTACAACTTGTCACGTGCGCACATTTTGCGAAACGTGCCACTGTCATCTGTTCAACATTTGTACGCCGCTTGCTCTTGGGAGGTCATGCCAATTTTATCAGCAGGCCCCCTCTTCAAATGTTGGGTTCAGTCTCCAACTGAGAACTGAAGGGAAAAGATCTCCACCCCCCCCCCCCTTCAGACGATGCACTCCCTTGTGTAAGAAGCATTGTTTTTCAATGTGTACTTGGGGTACACAACGGGTTTCCACGAAGTTTCGGGAACTGGAGGCTGCTACATTTACCCGATTGTTAAATAAGAAAATTGAATCGAATTACTGGGCCTGATGGTTCATTCAGTCACGGTTACCTCTGAGCGATTGCCATTCCTAATGCAGGGTGGTGTTGTACGACGTCTATAATGATATTGTACATGTGATGCATTCTGTTTGATTTTTTTGTCATTGGGTACAATTGTGAACAATAGCCATGTCAGACATTAGTACATCTAATCTGCATAATTATTGGTTCACTGCAGCGCAATCAGGCGAAAGCCCACTTAGATTATTTATTCAGGCCTTCTGACACATTATAATTGCGTAAAATACATCCTGTTATGAAATTCTAACGATATTTTTGTATCAATTTGTACGGTATTTACCATATTTATGCTAATATTTGAATTTAACTTTGGGCTTTATATATATAGTGTAGCCATACAATTAGTTGGGGTTGATGATGCTGTTAGTCTTCAAGTCCACTGAACACGTGTGCTTTCCTCATATTAGCAAGAGCATTTAACGAGGCTTCCATCACCGCGGCAGATTTAATATCACGCATTATGTTTTCGCTTTGTATAACAACAACAGCGTTATTATCGATGCGGGCAATAAGATGCCTGCTCTGGTTGAACGCTCGGCCAAATAGTTCGTTGCTCGGCCTAATTAATCATAGAGCCCCACAATTAGCCGGAGGGGTTTGCGAGAAGTTTCGGCGCTCGGGGTTTTCGGCAGCTGCGGTAAGTTGATCCGCGCGTTCTCACGTCCGCGTCTCTTCGTCGCGTGGAGGGGCCGTCGCTGTGACCGGAGAGAGTTCGCGGCGCCCGCTCGCTCACGGCGTCCCCGGGGGGGGGGGGGGGGGGGGTGGCGAGCAGCCCACGCTGCCCGGCGCAGCTGTTGGAGGCACAAGGGAGTAAAAAGCGAAGTTGCGCTTGACAGCCGTGGCTCTCGGCGGGGGGAAATCTAAAGGGGATTTGCGCTCGGAGTTCTGTTAAAGCCGTAAGTATGCGGGGAAGCATTTTTTGTTGCTCATCAAAATACAATGCGAGTTCGTGCCGCATGCCCGGGTGCAGCAAGCAGCAGCAGCAGCAGCAGCGTGCAGGCTAGGGCTTGCGTGTGTGTGTGTGTGGTGGGAAAAGTTGTGTGCGCGCTGTTACACCAGAAAAGCGCCGCATGAATCGCATGCCCCCAGATTAGTTTTGGAAGAGTTTGCGGGGGAGGAGCAGCGCCTAAGGGGCCTCTCAAAATGCTTGATGCTGGAGGCTCATGGTGTAAACAGAGCGATGTTGATATCCGAGGCTGAACTTCAGAAGGGAGCATCGAGTGATTTTCAAAGCTGTGCTCACGGTCGTGCCCGAGTGGGCAAACACGGCAATGTGTACAGCACGCACGCTCGCACACGAAATGCACCTTTGTGCCCCGCATGCACTCGTGGACATTCACTTGAACGTACATGTGAGCAAATCACAAGTGTGCACGCAGATATGGGTGTTTTGGCGGCAGGTGATAAGATGTGTTTCCCAAGCAGGGTACAGAACTTGTGAAATATCTTAGCTGACCAACAATAATGTTATTTGATGTCGTTGGTATTATTAACTACATTGTGTTTTATATAATTTAACTTATCACATTTGTCAGCAAATGTTATCATTTAAAATTGTATGAACACATTTCAGTCATTGGATATGTGGCACCACGGTGGCGACATGTTAACTACCTCGCTTGGTATACAGGAGGTCGCGATTTCAATCCCTACCCTGATGTCTGTGTATTTGGAGTTCGCATTTTCTCCCAGTGGTGGTATCAATTCTTCCCTGGGTCCTCTGGTTTTTCCCTCCACATTTAGAAACATGCGTTTACAGTATTTGGCTGCTATAAATTTCCACAATGTAAGCAACTTCGTTGAGCTATCATTTGTGGACAGGTCGCTTCTTAAAAAGAGCTACATACAGTGAGGGAAAAAAGTATTTGATCCCCTGCTGATTTTGTACGTTTGCCCACTGACAAAGAAATGATCAGTCTATAATTTTAATGGTAGGTTTATTTGAACAGTGAGAGACAGAACAACAACAACAACAAAATCCAGAAAAATGCATGTGAAAATGTTATAAATTGATTTGCATTTTAATGAGGGAAATAAGTATTTGACCCCTCTGCAAAACATGATTTAGTACTTGGTGGCAAAACCCTTGTTGGCAATCACAGAGGTCAGACGTTTCCTGTAGTTGGCCACCAGGTTTGCACACATCTCAGGAGGGATTTTGTCCCACTCCTCTTTGCAGATCTTCTCCAAGTCATTAAGGTTTCGAGGCTGATGTTTGGCAACTCGAACCTTCAGCTCCCTCCACAGATTTTCTATGGGATTAAGGTCTGGAGACTGGCTAGGCTACTCCAGGACCTTAAAGTGCTTCTTCTTGAGCCACTCATTTGTTGCCTTGGCCGTGTGTGTTGGGTCATTATCATGCTGTAATACCCATCCATGACCCATTTTCAATGCCCTGGCTGAGGGAAGGAGGTTCTCACCCAAGATTTGACGGTACATGGCCCCGTCCATCGTCCCTTTGATGCGGTGAAGTTGTCCTGTCCCCTTAGCAGAAAAACACCCCCAAAGCATAATGTTTCCACCTCCATGTTTGACGGTGGGGATGGTGTTCTTGGGGTCATAGGCAGCATTCCTCCTCCTCCTCCAAACACGGCGAGTTGAGTTGATGCCAAAGAGCCCCATTTTGGTCTCATCTGACCACAACACTTTCACCCAGTTGTCCTCTGAATCATTCAGATGTTCATTGGCAAACTTCAGACGGGCATGTATAGGTGCTTTCTTGAGCAGGGGGACCTTGCGGGCGCTGCAGGATTTCAGTCCTTCACGGCGTAGTGTGTTACCAATTGTTTTCTTGGTGACTATGGTCCCAGCTGCCTTGAGCTCATTGACAAGATCCTCCCGTGTAGTTCTGGGCTGATTCCTCACCGTTCTCATGATCATTGCAACTCCACGAAGTGAGATTTTGCATGGAGCCCCAGGCCGAGGGAGATTGACAGTTCTTTTGTGTTTCTTCCATTTGCGAATAATTGCACCAACTGTTGTCACCTTCTCACCAAGCTGCTTGGCAATGGTCTTGTAGCCCATTCCAGCCTTGTGTAGGTCTACAATCTTGTCCCTGACATCCTTGGAGAGCTCTTTGGTCTTGGCCATGGTGGAGAGTTTGGAATCTGATTGATTGCTTCTGTGGACAGGTGCCTTTTATACAGGTAACAAGCTGAGATTAGGAGCACTCCCTTTAAGAGTGTGCTCCTAATCTCAGCCCGTTACCTGTATAAAAGACACCTGGGAGCCAGAAATCTTTCTGATTGAGAGCGTGTCAAATACTTATTTCCCTCATTAAAATGCAAATCAATTAAAAACATTTTTGACATGCGTTTTTCTGGATTTTGTTGTTGTTATTCTGTCTCTCACTGCTCAAATAAACCTACCGTTAAAATTATAGACTGATCATTTCTTTGTCAGTGGGCAAACGTACAAAATCAGCAGGGGATCAAATACTTTTTTCCCTCACTGTAGCTCAGTGCGCCTCACCTGATAAAATAAAAAAAACTTTAGTATTATAGCTGTTCTCCTCACTGGCGACCCAATTTAAACCCCTCCCCAGCCTCTCGCTTTAACGTTAACTTTTGACCGCAGTCAACTGTCGCACGACCGACGCACAGATTTCGTCC